CAATGCACGCTGATTCTAACCGATTGGTAATGTATCTGTGAATTGAAGCGATAAACCTTGCATTGATGGGTCCTATTATATACTTAATGGTGTAGCAATTGAAGAGGCAATTTGTAAAGGCATAGATATTAAGCCGGTGTACCATGGAGTTAACGAATGGTCAGCGATCAGTGAAAACGAAACGCTAATTTCTACGACTTAAAAAGTTTCTTAATATTTGTTGAGTAATAAGCCTACATTAACTATTTGGACAGACAATTACAGATATGACTATTACCTAATAAGCATCAGTTAATTCCAATGAAATTTAACCAAAAAAGAGCTGATGTTTGACCTTCGTTCGTCTTGGAGTTCGACCTGGGTCGAACACAAAAGCTTTGGTGTTAATTCAACAACGCAGTCAGCCACAAGGCCAAATTTTAATGTTGTAGACATTTTGTGACTGGTTTTGGATGATTTTTGCTCGATACAAAAATCTACCGAACAGTTGAATCGACTGGATGCGCCGATAGTTCTGTATCTTTGATTGTTCTGATCGTAAGAATAAGCCAACACGCTCTCTTCATCACCATCACTGCCGTCACTGTTACTTCTCTAGCTTCCCCATCGCTAACGTCATCATCATTGGTATCTCTTCGATTAGCAGACTTATTACGCCCTCCCTCCCCTTTTTTTCTTGACTCGTCGTCTTTTGTAGCCGATGAAGACGAGCGAAGTTTAAAATAATTCCCTCCCCCCCAAAAAAAATCTGCTCTGTACCGCTCAGGCGTGATTCACAAAGGGTCTCTTTCTTAATATCCACCCGAGGGGTCTCTCGCCCCAATCAGATTCTGATTCCGCTAGCTATCCCCACATTCAAGCCATTGATTGACTGACCGGCTAAACAAGTCTGGATGGCCGGAGTTGCACCCCGCGTTTGGCCCAGGGGGGAATGGCCAGTTGGACGATTGGTGACCAGCAATCAAAGATGTCATAATTACATACGCATTACACCGCCGAGGGCTATATTCGGCTTGACACTGCCATGTGGCCAAAATGGTATTGACTCGCTCTGGAATCACTGGTTATCGAACAGTCTTGTGCGAATTAGGAGTGGGTCCAGTTCTGTGGTTTGATGATGTATCATATCTGGTATTTTCGAATAAGCGTCAGTCTCCTCTTTTCATTTCTTGTGCATTTATACAAATTTTATTGTGGATTTATTTGCACTCAGTTGCGTCTGGCCCAAGTGACAAATTCTCTGCGCGCCATGCTCCGTTTAATACTGCTGTCCATTGGTTTCGGGTCAGATCTGCCTCCCAATCCTCTAAAAAGTCAAGTATCGTCGTCGCTACCACGAAACTTGGTCAGATTTTATCAGCTTCCGCGTGTAACAAAAAAAATTCGACAATAGAAGGAAACTTCTATTGTATTATGTTCGGTTTGATGGAGTGGAGGTCGATAATTGACTGTGCTACAATACGCATAACTCTGTCTCTCTAACTTAACAATGACTGGACCGTCTCGACGCGGCTTCACCGAGGGTTCTTGACTTCGCCACTCTCGGGCCCGGCCTGGCCCACAGCAGCGCTGTCCCGAGCTGGACCGTCCACTCGTCTACTCGGTGAGCATGTGGCCGTATACAAGTGCTGTACGAGGACAAAACAAAACGGTTGTAAAGTACGTCGTTCGCACTAGTATACGCACCACTCGAAACCACTGATTCATTTCCCTCTTCTCATTGTTACTCATAACTGGAGGGGGGGTCCACTTTTTCTCGGGCGAACGCGCTATAGTCCTTGATGTCAGGGCTGGGTTGTGTGGATGTTTGTAATAATAGGGGTACATAAAGGTGCCCGTAATTTATCTCGACCCATCGACTCGCCGTTGTCCGGCCTTTCCCCGTATTCCTGGGAAGCTTTTCCAGTGAATAAAAGTCCCTTCGAGCCAGAATCGAGCACCTTCACACTATGTGGTAGGGACATACATGTACATGTACATGTCCATGTATCAGGTTGTGAATGTCAAAGTGGGGTGGGAGTTTGTTGACAGCTGACCAGGGCATTCGTCTAATTAGGTCTTTTCCAGCCTAGCAAAAATAATTTCGATATTGTACTGTCATGTGGCAGGCTTACTTTTTCGACGTGATTTTTTTAAAAAGATGTTTGAACTATGTAGCTTTATGCGATTATCTAACGCCATTTTGTTGAAAAAAAATGTATTTTTGTTGTAATTTGTGTTGAAATTATTGTCTTTTGTCGTCAGTTTGGAAGTCACGTTCTCAGTTTATTACTGTAACAGATTTGTATGCATACAAGTGCGCATGCCCATGCCCGCATTTGTTACTTCGAAAGACAAAGTTGTCGATACCATCAAGCGTGCATTGTTGTAGGAGTCAAAACACAACAAGGCTGCATTGGAAACAGGAGCCTCGATTTGCCATTTAGTAACAATTACGTACATGTTAAACCAAGACCGTATGTCCTCACGTGGTATAAGCCTGTGATGCGCTCTACTGTATTCGTGATGCACTCTACTTTATTCAACGCTGTCTTTTTAAAAATGATTCACATTCTGAAAATGAAGGGAAAGAAAGACCCGAAACATGCAGGTATACGGCCAAGAGAGATTAACTTGATATTCCCTAAAGATTGTTGGCATTCATTGGTTTCCCTAGTCCATGCCTCATTAGTCGTATTAAAGTTGGATATCCAAATATGACTTGACGTGTCCAGCTTTCTCTATGGTTCAATAGATTTCGCCTGGGTTTACGCTTGAGGCCCTGGGCGTTGAAGTTTCCCCATTTTAAGAAGAAAAGGCAGCACGGTGGGGTGGGCATTCGGGTGACTGTACTCTCCCCTCTTTTCAGTTTTCGTTGCTTTCCCAAAATCCTGGGCGGGCTTGTTTGGAAGAGAGATTTAAACAAGCCAAAGTAACCAAGTTTTCGTATCTAAAGACTGGGATAACAGCTCAGTGCCCGTCCACAGTATGTTGCTTGCGGCACGGCGTGCTGGAGAACCGTAGCGTGGAGAGGCTCGGCCTCCAAGGCTCCAAGGTACTGATTTTGGGGGCATGTCGCTGCTCGCACCCCCCCGCAACCAGTCGTCGGTTTCCCGCTTCTCTTCCAGAAGAAAAGGTTCTTCAAAAGGTCCACACCGAAAGGTAGTCCGTGGCACATACGCTGTGGCTTTTGAACGATCCCTCTTTGTTCCGTATTTACTCACCCTTTGGAAAGAGAGAGAGACCCCTCTCTTCACCGATTGTGTATACAAGGGGGTAAACTGGTCTTGTCCGGCGTATTCACGCAGTGGAGTGAAATTATATGGCCCCCCCAGGCGAGAGTGACCGTGTTTGCTTGGGCGCTGGCAGTGGTCCAAATGCAGTCCCCCATTGGTAAACCGCAGGGTAAGCGGACGACACATCACTCATGGCTCTATTGATTTGGGCTCATATAATCCTATCAACAACAGATTTCAACCATTACTTCAGAATTAATAGCAGCTTGCATTCACTTTTGCTGTAAAATAAGAACGCTTTTGTTTTTTAAATACACATTTCACGTTTCTCTCAACGCCCGTAAAAAAACGCATCGCGGTTGTTGCTCTGTTACTCCGAAGTTTTGATGGACAAAAATGAAATATTTGCAATAAAAATAATTTTGAAAACCCCTGTTTGAAAGCAAAATGGTCTGGCGTTTCAAGTCTATAAAGCATTTTTTAAAACTTTTTTTAAATGTACAGATTTCGTTCGTAAATCTGTGATTGGATCGCAACGTTGGGTCCTCTCAGTTTTAAGTTTTTTTTCTATTTTGGCCACTTTGGCTGACAGCCTATGTTCTAATTCTTAACATCAAGACATTCAGATGTTTTGCCGTTGAAGTTTTCAAGACTGGAGGCTTAGATTTAAAATAAATTCAGCACAGATGAGGAAATCGTGTCCTAATGCCAAAATGTAGTTTATTTTTGATTCAGAATTAGCAGAGGAAGAGGAAACTAATACTGATATTGTCTCGTGCCATTATTCGCGCTAGGATCGCGGCGCTGCGGGTGTCGTATTTGCATGGCTTGACGACGCTCCTTGAGTTAAGACTTGTCCAAAGAGAAGAAAATTTGCTGAGAATTTTTCATTAGTTTCGAATCATGAGCCCTCAATGAATGCTTAGAATCCCTCGGTATGCCCACTCAGCCGCGAAGGGTTGAGAGAAGGGGGAAGGACTTACCGTTGGACCAGGATTGGTCAGCTACTGGTCACTCACTCTGACCGGAGCCGGCACGTCAGCGGTTGCCCCGGTCCGGGGAGGGGTTCGAATTTCCCTCAAGGCCCTTTTCTCCTTCAAAGTCTTGCAAGTCGTTGGTCAAAAAACCCTGACGTGCGTGTGTGTAGTTTTTCCGCTCCAGAAAGCCGGCTCGCGTGGCCGGCACGCGTGAGGTATCGCCGTCAATGAGAAGCGCGCCCGGAGCATGACATTACATGTGAGGCACCCCCGGAACAATGCGGTTGGGGTATCCATAAAAAAAAGGAAAATACAGAGGGGGAGATCAAGAAAAAAATATGAAGAGCAAAAAAGAGTAAGGGGGAGTTAGGGATCCAAGCCTGCCGGCCGTGATGTTTGCATAGTAATGATGAGAGTAATAATAAAGATTATACGCGCAGTGTGGCAGAACGGGGGGCCAGTTACGGTCGCAGTTCAATGTCAGAAGCACCAATAGCCTACCTGATCGAAGCCCTGGGTGAACCCGAGCAAGGCGAGGCTGGGACCCTGGCTAGAGAGTTGATCAGAGGGGGCGGTGGGTGTACGGGACGGTATAAAAGGGCGCCGCTCCCTGGTCTGATGATCCATCGGCCTAACCAACCGCACTGTACGTTCCGCTCCGCGACTAGATCCCGAGAGCCAATAATCCTGGCCCATCTGAGGAGCTGCCTACAAGACGACGTATAAGTACCATCACTGAGATCACTGAAAGCAAGGAAAGAAACTTTATTTTCTGACTTTTCAAGCAAACTTTTCCTCCAACACGGTCATGTCTCGATCTTTCTACGTGGACTCGCTGATTCTAAACCAGCCGCCGTCCAGCGAGAGGGATCACCCTCGGACGCCTCCGTCCATGCACCTCCGGACCAACGGCGAGCCCAAGACCATGCGATGCTACCAGACCCACACGGACACCATACCCACCTGTCCCATTTGTGTGCGGGATCAGGCCCAGGCGACCTGCGGCCGGCTGCCCGGGATGCCCCCAACCTCCGGCGTGGCCGTCTACAAGTCCCCGCTGGGCGGCCTACCCCCGTCTCACTCGCCCAGCGAGCACCACCGTGTGCTCCCCACCAGACCCTATCTCGAGTCCTGTCGGGACCACCACCTTCACCCCTCCAGCCTTGGGCTTCCCCCTCCCCACAGTATGAGCCAGCACACGCCGCCATCTTCCCACACCAGCTACCGGCCCACGATAGATCCCCGCAGGCTTCAGTACCTGCCAATGGGTAAGTCAAAGTTTTGTCATCTCTCATTTTTGCAGAAAAAAGCAATTTCGACTTGTGATTCATGTTATTATAAATTTTGTGTCTACAAATATTTGGAATAAATTGATTTTATATTCCCAACATCACAATGGATAATTATTTACTCTTGACGGGGAAAACGAAGGTGAAACTTATCCTACTCAGACTTTTGTCAAAATCATGGGTCCACGTGCTCTTCCAATTTCTTTCCTTTGTACTTGGCACTCGTTGTTCTAAAATGCCCAGAACGCCGCAGATCTCAACAGCATTGGTATCGACTCCTCGTTATAGCAAAACTCGAAACTGGTATCGAAAGTCCCTCTTTTTAGCTCGACTAGGTAATATGCCTCGGAAGACCAAGGTCTGTGTACATTCTGTTTTCAAATGCTCTTGATGAAAGGGGGAATCGATCAAGAAATGTACCAAAGCCGTTCCGTCATTTTCACAACGGGGGCGAAAAAAAAAATCACTGCCTTTTTGGACGTGGGAAATGACAGATGATTTCAGCATGACGATTTGCATGCACCCAGATGTACCTTTCCCAGCGGCGGGGCTTGAGTTGGTCTACACGAGACAGGAACAGTACTGTAATTTTATCATTGGTCGGCAAAATAGAAACGGCAAGGTAACAGAAAAATGAAGTAAACCGGACGATAATGGACTTTAATCTCCTTCTTTTTGTTCGTTTTTTTTTATTTACTTCTTAATCCGAAACTCATTTGGGCTTTATCTTTGATCAAGTCGTTTGTTAAAGATAAGTGTCAGATACTGAAAAAGGAAAATGTCGACGTGGCCGACATCAATCACCGATTAAAAGGCGTTGTAATAGAGTGTAAAAATTGACCCTCCAGATACAAGCGACCCTTGGAAAGACTTTGCTCATTTTGTGATGACATTCGAATATGAAAAACAATTTTCAGAGGGGGTGCATAGGCTGAAAGGTTGAAGTAGTTCATCAAGCTTTTGAAACATTTATATTGTCCTGGCTGTTGGCACGTAGAGACCCACACGCAAGCGATGAGTAGACATTGGATGGAGCCAGCAACAATTTGGACACCCCACAAAGTATCGAATTTCGTGACCGAATGTCAATCGTAGTCACTTGCAATCGTTGCTTCGGCGGATGATTCACCCCGGACTGGGTAGAGGACATGCTCCGTCGCGGGCTTCTCCACAGAGTTGACACAGGGCGTGTGAAACACACCAATCGGTGGCCAATTTAACGGTAGCGTGCGAGCGCCACGACAATAATGATCGATTTACTACTCTATGCAAAATGGCCAAAGTCAGTAAGGCAAAATGAAAGAGGCTCGTTTTCGTTCGAATTCGTTTGTGCGAAAGAGAAACTAGTGCCGTGTTCGAGGTAAAAACAGTGCGTGCGTGTCAAATAACCTCTTGTCTGCCACAAAGCTTTCACGGCAAAAAAAAAGTTCTCGTATATCGGCTTGCAGGGAAACATTGAACTGTCGCTTTGGGCCACGAGAACTGAAACAGGAAATTCGTGTGAACAGAAGTGAATCTCACGTTATCGTAGTTTTTCTCTATCAGCCGGCTTCTCCCCCCCGTTAAAAACTTGATGCTTGATGTATCATCCCAATACGCTGCTGATGACTTCATGTAAAAAATAAAAACGAAATTCTAAGAAATAAATCGGCAGATTGGACATCATTCGAGGAGAAATTATCATTTGTCTTTGAGAGCTATCTACCAACGACTTACATAATGTTGTGATCGTTTTCTATCAGCTTGCGGTTATATGATGCCATAAAAATAATGTAAGATGTTTCCTCGATAAAACACAGCAAAAAGGCTTACCCTATTCATCTGTCTTTCAACACTCACTGACAATTGTACGAGCACAGTAACAAATACGGTCCACATACTTTACTTTAACTGTCCAGAGGTTTTATTTGCTAACGATTTTTGACCAGTTCAGTATTGAGCCCCAGCCGTCTTCATTCCATTCACACTGTGTATTGGGCTTTTTCTGACTTTGTAGGTCTGGACCATTCGGGAATGGACCAGGACCATCTGTCCAGCAGCAAGCGGATCCGCACCGCCTTCACCAGCACCCAGCTCCTGGAGCTGGAGCGGGAGTTCGCCTCCAACATGTACCTGTCGCGCCTCCGTCGCATCGAGATCGCCACCTACCTGAACCTCAGCGAGAAGCAGGTCAAGATCTGGTTCCAGAACCGGAGGGTCAAGTACAAGAAGGAGACCAAGGTCCAGTCGCGGGACTGCAAGTGCCAGCGGATGACGTCATCGCGGGCCAGTAACGGCACCAGCTCGGCCAGTGGACGGAGCCACTCCTCCTCGCCAGGCAGCTCTGCGCATGCGCCCATCGACACTGAAGACAAGCGGCAACCAGAGAGAGATTGAAACACAATGACGAAAAAAAAGAAAAGACTTTAAATCAAAGCTAAAGTTTCGGTTTATTTATTTAAATTTAGTGTTTGTATAATAATTTTAACAACAATTGCAGACGCCATCAAAAGTTGCTGTTTGAAGCGTAAACGAAGATGGTAAACGTCCTGTCGCGGCCGCCTTACAGAAGTGGTATAGTTTCAAGGTGCATTGATAACATGTCTTTTCAATTAGTCGCTTGTTGTATAGAAGTGGATTCGGTTCCAGATTAGTTTACAGGATTCAACATTTTGTCTACACGCAGTATTACTTTTATACAATTTTATATGAAAGAATTATGGGTACTCGAGCGTTAACTTCTGCTGTGGCCGCAACTCTTTGATGTAAATGTTAATTCTAAGTCGCTAAGATACTTTCAATTTTTGTACTATTTACTTATTCGTATACACAGATAAAATCCGTGTAGTTTGATAACTTACGTTCGTAGTGTAACTACAAGTAATGAAACAACACCAAACCTACCAACTCCGTGGAGGAATCGATTTTTTTGTTTGATATTTCAAAATTTGTCTGCGAATCCTCACCCTCTCCTAAATGGTAGCATAATATACCCTTTGTAAAATGCTGGCACAACCCCGCCCCGCTGGACACTTACTGTACAAACCATAACTTTAACACTTGATTCGAATGAATTAAACTTAATACAAGGAGATAAAGAAAACGCCTTGGAAAATCAAACGAAGATATCGGTGATCAGCGCCAATCTGTGATCACGGAGAGATTGCCTAACTCGTATCACAACACTGCAACCCGAAACCGGACGAAATATTGAACCACCAGTCGTTCCATCCCTGTCATGCAAACAGAATAAAATTCACGTTCTGAAAACAGTGGAATTGTCCATCTTGTTCGGATCAAAGCAATTAGGACTACAACATAAAGTACCAATGTGTTGTACGCTTTTTCATTTTCTGCCGATAGTATCTAATAGTCATGATGTGATTTCGCCTTATCAACGAATCACTGGCACGCTTCACTGGCACTCAATTCAAGTGAAAACGAGAACAAGGCTATTAACACAAATTTCCTGTAAATTCTGAACCCAAGTTCCAGCAAGGGATAAAATAAAATTTACTCTTTGAATATAAGAATGTGATTCGAACCATTCCGTCCTTTCCCAAGCATTATCTTCGGGCTGCCGCAAGGCGTCTATCATGTTTCCCCTAGACCTGGATCTCTTCCTGTCACTCTTATTGCTCCCTAAATAATTCATTTCGAACCTAAGTTTCCCTTCAAGTGGGTTTTCACACCTCGAGTCTGTATACTTCAGTCGTGTTTATTCTAAATATTATTTATGCATTTATTCAATATGTAAATTTGTGTCCCCGTGGCCTCTGTCACCGGCGTTGTCAAACTGCCCGTTCTTAAATTGTATAATTGTACGTAGACACTCGACGCGGGGCCAAAGGTCAGCCTAGCCCGGCGACAACTGTCAACTCATTAATACTGTAACCACTCGGCTTGTACATACCGAAGGTTCCCCAGGAAAACTTGGGAAATTAAAAAATCAGTGTTAACGGAAATATTCTGACTGCCAAGGAATGACTGGAAACGTTCATAGAATTACGACGTATTTTTATAAATCAATGAATAGAATCGCGTGAGGAAAGACGGTGCAGATGAGGGTGATATGAGAACAATTTGAATGTTCGAGAAAAAAAAGCAAATAACTACAACTTTCGATGAGGTAAATGTCACTCAAACGAAATTTCTGAAAATTCTTCTTCTAAAAAAGGCGTTTATCCAATGAGACGTTAATGGGCACAAATTTCAAACAAACAAATCATGAAAACAGAAAGTTTGGGTTGGGTCGTTTAAGTTGTTGAGTTGTCATTTCCCTCCCTTCAGGTCAAATGTCAATGACTTTTGGCTGGTTCCGGCCGAGTTTTGAGATTGGGTTATAAAACCAAATCAATGAAAATAGCTAAAACTACTACCATCCCCTTCATTCAGTGGATTGTGACACGCACCGGAATGCCATTTTCGAAAGGGATGATGCAAGTTGGGGGGGGGGTGTTAACCTGTAGTAGGAGTAGCCTTTTACTCCTCCCCATCGACCCCAGATTTACAAACCCGCTGCTCCAAGCTCTATTTTATGGGTGCTCGTAGACTGATCCGACCATGAGATCATAGCCGCCGTCTTGGAGGTGCGTGATTTTGTACTTTCATTGTGACCCAAATTATTTTAAACAAACGCACCTCCAAGGATTTGACCACTTTTGAGTAGATCCTCACATACTAATCTGTTCACAACATCATTATGGATCCATTAGATGGCCGCCATTCTGGGCGTGTGTTTTGGGGCATTCATTCAAAATTGAAGTAGCCAAAATCATCCAAGATGGCTGCTGCATGCGAAGTTTCCGTACATTATGGGAGCCCCCTGTAGAGGCTGTTTACCAAATAACTGGGCTCGGCCATGGTTTAGTTGGCCCCTGGTTGTCCCTTTATGATTTTTTTTTAATTCTAAACCGTTGTCTGTTTGTACATATTGACAATTTGTCTTCCGATTATCGTGTTTAAGAGGAAGAGTGAATTCTTCGTCTTTTTCGGGGTCTGGGCCCTGATATTTTCTTTCACGCTGAGTCCCAAGTTTTGGGCTGTATTCGCAGCCCTCTATCACAATCAATGTCTTCCACAATTCCATGGGAAATATTACAGTACAGTCTAAGCAAGCACGTGGCCAGAGAGTTATGTTTTCCTGTCGCAAAATATATTTTTTTTCCCTATTTAACCCATTCTCATTGTCCCAATTTTAGCTGGATCAACGTTTCGATTTTGCAGTTTGTCACGCTGCACTCCTCCGGTTACGCTACTGGCACTCGCGCAATGCACAACCACGCACGCACCTAAAAATTGCCCTTTAATGAAACCGCTAATTTGCTTATATGATTTCCAATTGTTATTTTGTCGGCTATTGTCCGGAAAATCTGCCAGTATTATGGACAGTGACAAGGATGGTTACAGTATTGAAGATAGCTGTTGGTGCCGTAGTTTTGGTGGTTGTATAGCTTGGAAGTGTCTGTGGGGGAACTGGTGATGGACAGGTCACAGTGGTGACAGTGGTGAAGGTAGCCTCAGTAATCAGTGCTTGTGGTGGTGAAGACCAGGTACTACCAAAGAGGGGAAAAATCGGAGAATTGTGGACCTCTTTTATGTTTCGCCCGGCTCCCTCTGTTTTGTACCTCAGAGACCCCGTCCCCTTTTTCTTCACATACTCACAGGTACCGTCGTGTTGCTCATTGAGTTTGATCGTTGTAGTGCACTCGTGACATTGAGGACTATCCCATGTAGAGAAATCCGATCCAGTGAAAATAAAGATAAAGACTGGGCTGTGACGCCGGGAGGAAATATAACATTGGCAATGACGAGAAATCTCCCGATCGGAACTTTGTAGCACGCGCGTTGTGGAAATGCAGGGTACGGGGAAATAAACGCATACTCCGGCATCTGTGATCCTGAAGTCTTTACAGCTGTAGTTTCTCGTAGGCCCTTTCCATTTAAATCACCAACTTGTATTCAGTGTAAAGTTTGTGAAATGGCATCCTGTTGAGTTTGACTCTTTTTTTCGGGGTATAGCCTATGTTAAATCATCAGTTGGTACTCGTTAAGCGGGGTTTTTGCCCGATGGAAAGGCTTGTGATCTTGGACTTCTTGTTCACATATATGCATATCCAGCCGTTGTGTCTGCAGTGGGATTCCTTACCGGTCACCAACAGAGAACTTCAAATGTTGGCAAATTCGGCGTTAATTTGAGCACACATGTATATTTGCATGTTGCTGTCGTTGGAGTGATGTGAGTTATTTAATGTGTGATGTCCATCAACACTGCTGTTAGTAATCGACGGCAGTTAGCCATCTATTCTCTATGTTGAGGACATGATGACTACGTGTATTCTCAGTGATTCAAATTTGCATAGCACTTGACAATGTCCTTTCACATGAACATTTGTGTCACAACAGTCCCCTCTTGTGGAGCTTGGCCCCGCCCTTCTGCGATCAATACCTCACTATGTTTTTCTTTGTCATGAAGCTTGTTCGTTGATATCAGTTTTTATACCGTCTCAGAAAGTTTCTGCTCAAGTTCCATGTGTTTGCTATTAAATGATCGACAGTATTGCAGTCTAAAAAACCAGAGAGGCTTGGTTGACCGCGATTCGAGTGCAAAATATGAAGCCGAAACGAATCTCCTCCTCGATGGCCATAATTGTTCACAGGTGAAGTGCTAATTGTCTGCCGGGAAGCCAGTCAGTGGTGTAATCAATTAACACCCCAATGCGAGCTCGCTAAGGATGGGGAATTCACATCCACCATTTCTCGAGAGCTGTTCGGGGCCCTTGCTGACACAGAGCTACCAAAGCAGAAAAATATTGCTTGGCACGTTTTCGTTTTTAATAAAACAAAACAAGTAAAACAAAAAACTAAAAAATCCAGCTTGAAACCAGTCACAAGAAAACTACGCTCTGCGTGACTTTTGGTTTGCCATGCTTTTGATAAGCAGACTTCTTAGTGCTCCTGCAGCAAATTTATGTGCCTTGAGGTTCAAATGGCTGAATATTCTTTTCAGAAATATTCTTACAGAGCGAGTCCGTAACTGTGATCTGAAAAGCTGAGCATAACCATGGGTATCTCCATGTTGACTTGTATTCCTGGTGACCTTTGACCTTATGCAATATAGTTGAGTACAGTTGCCACGAGATCATCCAAATCCAACTATATCGTCATTAAAAAGCGTGTGTTTTGAAGCATGTATATAACAAATAGGGAGAGGAGAAGGGATTTCCCTTGTAAATTCAGTTCTTTACATGCCACTTTTTAAAGTATGCACCAAACTAATCAGCGAACTGTATAGACTGTACAACTGATTGGTTTCTTTGTTTTCCCCCTTTTCAAGATATGCATGAGAATTGATTTCATAGCACCTTTCAAATGCTTCAGTGGAACCCCACACCAAT